TCATTCAGTACATTTTTGAAGCATCATTTCCCGAATCCCCATATTAGCAATGATAAGCTCTCTGCTTTTACAACTTCTGCATCCCTTGAGAAAGAAAAGATGTTTAGCTCTAGAAGGTTGATGCTATTAATGAAATATACAGCTTCGCAGTTATCCAGAACTATGCTTTGGGAAAGAATATAAGATGTTTGAAACAGTATTGAGAAGACTGCTATGCTTGCTTGTAGCAATACTGCTTGATTAAAGAGTTGAGAGTTGAAGATAGCGTTTATTTGAAGGAACTGAGAATGCTTTGTTTTAGGCTTGAAGAGTATTGGATCTGGCATTTTGATGTTATAATTGAGAGGTTCTAATACTCAACAGTGCCTGGATAGAGATTTCTATTATTCTCCATTCTCTATAAGATCCTCCCTGTTCAGCCTTAAGAAAGCCATCCAGTTCTGATAAGATCTAAACGGAGCTCCTGATAGTTTTTGCTAGCCAGCTTAGAAAGGATCTTCTTTCTTTGCTCATCAGATGAAGCCTTGAAGATTGAGTCTAGCTTAATTCTGATACAGGCGTACTCCAGCTTTCTGCAGCTTATAGAGCTTCATTTATGCTTCCTTTGATACGATTTGTAGAGGCACTTGTAATCTCTCTTTTCGCTCTAGCTGGAAGATTCATCTTGTTTCTTCTCAGATTTTGTGCCTGAGTTGCTGGATTGTAGGTTCTCTCCGCCTATAGTAGCGAACACTATTGAGCCTTTTTTCTGCTCAAGCTGAAGTTAATGGATTGAAGCAAGATTTTGTTGAAGCTATTCGATAGTCTTGATAGGCAGACCATCGTTAGATACTGTAGCAAGAAGATATTATTGCATTTTAGCCCACTCTATCTGAAAGCGAACTCTAACAGCAGCAAGGAAATTATCAGAGCTCTAAAGTCCCTCAACTTTATCAATGCTATAAACCTGAGCTAGATTTAGAAGATCCTAATGCTGCTAGCATCAGTTTTGGAAATCAATACCTTGCCTGATAGCCAGCTCAAAATGATAGCAGTACTGGAAGCGAACGATCTGTTTCATGCTCTCCTCAAACGAATAGAAGTCTTTCTTCAGATTCCTAAGCATCTATTGAATCAAGAGAGACTTCTTTCCTGAATAGATATACATATAAGAAACGAGAACTAACAGAAATACTGTTTTCTGAATCCAGTTCCACATTCTCTATACATTCTAGTAAGCATGCAACTGCTTGTTTTGATAAAGCTAAAAGCATTTCATCTTCTGATCATAAAGAATAGCTTGTTCCTGAATAGAAAGTAGCTTATAGTTCTCCATTATAGTATTTTTGCACTCCTCCTCAAGATTCTAAGTAAACTTGGAAAACTTGAGGTTGAAGTCTTCAGATTCGAAAGAGAGCGCATCTGAGCTATCCGGGTCTAGATACTCTCAAACACCCTTTCCCTTGCTCTGGAACTGCAAAATGCTGTACCAGGATGAAAAGGAGTAGGTATCGGTATACTTTACCGAGAGTGTAAGATCGTCAGGTTTGCGCTCCATTGTGAGCTTTGATAGAGCATAAGTATAACTGTTTGGAACAAAAGATGTGTTCTAAAAGAATAAGAAGTAAACAGCTCAGTTTGTTTCGATAGATAAGGGGAAGATTAAACCCGATTCTTGCAAACCGGGCTCATAACTAAGGAGAAACGTATAAGCTGAGCATGTGGAAGTAGCTGAATGAGTGTTGAGATTGAATCTATCTAATACAAAAGGAAGATCTTCTAAGTAACTAAACCAGGCTCTGAGATGGTTTATGAGGAAACCAAAACAGAGGGTTAGGGTTAAATATGCCCCATTTTTCACAAGTTACTATTAGACTGATTAGTTAATATTACTAAACAACTATCCGAGATACGCTTTATGCATGAATATCTGCAAAAAGATGTGTAATTAGCTATGGATATTGTTGCAGCAGATAACAAATGCGCATATAATGCTAAATACTAATACAAAGAGTACAAGAAGAGCAACAAGATCTAACTAAAACTTAGCAAGGCATACAAGCTACTACTACGCTAGAGCAACAAGATGCAAGCTCTTTGTAAAGAGCTGTTCACAATTACCAGAAAAGTATCATTTTTGGCTTATAAGCTTGATTTCAAAACTAGCAATTATGATGCTAATGTTCAAGTATACTCAGTAGTCAGCATTCAGTATCTAAGTTGATACAAACCTACTAACAACCCCTTCAATTGCTAACTATCTGAGCCTAGCCCGATTGAGCACAACGAGAACAGCAACAACTCAATTAGATCTGATAAAAACTACTACAAAGTTAATCGCATCATGAATAAGAAGATCAAGCAATGAGGTAGCAAGAATACAGTACAATACCTGGTACGATAGAAGGGATGGTTCTTACAGTACAATCGCTGGAAGGATCTGAGAAGTCTCAAGTGCCCTAGCCTCATCGAGGAATACGAATACGCACACTCCGATAAGGCTACAGAGATTCTCGTAAAGGATGGCCCAGCTGATCCCGTGAAGAGAAAGCTCAGCCAGCTCTTCAAGAAGCCGTTGCCTGACAACAACGAGGATGGAAATGCCGTGCCAGCACGAAGAAAGCGAGGTCGGCCTGCCAAGGTCACAGCCTCCCCAGCTGTCAACATTAACACGTCTAACAACGCGTCTGGAGGCCTTCCTAAGCCTGAAAAGGATGGAAAACAGAGCTCTGGAGCCTCTCCTGGCCTCCGAAGAAGCGCGAGACTGATACGTAGGCATGTGATCCCTAGATAGCTGCTGAGAACAGCAGGAACATTTTTCCGTAGCCGGCACTTGTGGCAGTGGCCATAGGGGCCTCAAGTGAATGAGGCTTGGCTGGCCACCCTGACTCACTGGCCTGGGCCATTCAATGGAAGGGCAGTGAGTCGTCAGGTACGCTAGCCTAGTTGGAACTAGTGCCAATTGCTGGCTCTTATAGAAAGGCAATTGGCAACAGCGTGCCTTGAGATAGATTAATTGAAGAACCATCTTCCCTTATACCATTTGTAGTACACCATAGAGTGCCTTCTACAGTTCAATACTTATTTTAAGAGAATATTTTTGCTTAGTTAATTAAGTTTCTATTGCTAAGCAATATTCACTTAATATTCTTTCTAAACTAGTGTCAGGTGGAAAGGTTGCAAAGGCAATGTAGCGAGGTCTTTTCTCTCTTTCAGGGGTATACAACCAGAATAACATTGAGGCCTAAGGAGCTAAGTTCTGCTCAGCAGTGCTGACGTGGCTAGAAAGCCGCTTTATAGCTGCATATTGCTTAGTTATCCGTAATCCAGCTGGCTTAGCTGGCTCTGAGCCTTGCTGGCACAATCAGCCCTAACAGATTGTTCCCCCTTATCAGGCCTTGTTCTCAAGGCCTTTGAGGCTTCCGAGCTTTCGTTGCTTTCAGGCTTCCGTTGCTTCCAGGCTTCCGTTGCTCCCAGGCTTCCGTTGCTTCCAGGCTTTCGCTGCTTCCTAGCTGCTCCTACGCCTTCTCAATGCTTCAGGCTCTTAAGATCTCTCAGTGCTTCAGGCTTCTCAAAGCTTCTCAAAATCCCTCAGTGCCTCAGGTTTCTCAAAGCCTCTCAAGATCTCTCAGTGCCTCAGGCTTCTCAAGGCTTCTTAAGGTCTCTCAGTGCCTCAGGCCTCTCAAGGCTTCTCAAGATCTCTCAGTGCTTCAGGTTTCTCAAAGCCTCTCAAGATCTCTCAGTGCTTCAGGCCTCTCAAGGCTTCTCAAGGTCTCTCAGTGCCTCAGGCCTCTCAAGGCCTCTCAAGGTCTCTCAGTGCCTCAGGCCTCTCAAGGCCTCTCAAGATCTCTCAGTGCCTCAGGCTTCTAGGCCACCCAAGGTCTCTCAAGATCTCTCAGTGCCTCAGGCCTCTCAAGGCCTCTCAAGGTCTCTCAGTGCCTCAGGCCTCTCAAGGCCTCTCAAGATCTCTCAGTGCCTCAGGCTTCTAAGCCACTCAAGGTTTCTCAAGATCTCTCAGTGCCTCAGGCCTCTCAAGGCCTCTCAAGATCTCTCAGTGCCTCAGGCCTCTCAAGGCTTCTCAAGGCCTCTCAACCATCTCCCTCCTTCTCTTCTAGCTTCGTCCCCGAAGCCTGTGAAAAAAAAAATCTCTTTTTAATCACATTCCAGATATAAGTCTTCCGAATGCAATATTCGCGCTATATATGCTACTCAATTGCTGCTCCCTCAGCGCTTTATCTAAGCACTCTTCAGAACTTAAAGCTGTTTAATATAGATTGCAAGCCTTCTATCAGGAACTTGATTTGCAGCTAAGAAGCTCAGCATTCAGAATAGCATCCCTGCAGCTATAACAGATAATTATAGCTTTCTATCTTGAGAGTTGCTCTCTAGCAACTCTGAAGCTGTTATTATGCTTTGCTTTATTGCTAGATGCAGAAGAATAATTAGTTTGCAATCTAATATTCAAGCAACTTCAGTTGCTAAGCGAATACTCCGCTTCAGCTCTGCGCTCTCGCTTAAATAGCGAAGAGTATACTCTCGAAAACAGAAGATACTCAGATCTACTGCTTACTCACTCTGCTCTCTCGCTTGAATAGCGAAGAATATATTCTCGAAAATAGAAAATACTCAGATCTACTGCTTGCTTACTCTGCTTTCTTGCTCGAATAGCGAAGAATATACTCTTGAAAACAGAAGATACTCAGATCTACTGCTTGCTTACTCTGCTTTCTCGCTTGAATAGCGAAGAATATACTCTTGAAAACAGAAGATACTCAGATCTACTGCTTGCTTACTCTGTTCTCTTGCTCGAATAGCGAAGAGCATACTTTGTTCTAGCTTAGCAACTCGAATGCTCTGAATCTCTTCTAAATGCTTCTTACATGCTGCTTGCATACTGCTTGCTTGCTATTTGCTCTAGCTTAGCAACTCGAATGCTCTGAATCTCTTCTGAATGCTTCTTATATACTGCTTGCATACTGCTTGCTTGCTGTTTGCTCTAGCTTAGCAACTCGAATACTCTAAATCTCTTCTGAATGCTTCTTGCATGCTGCTTGTATACTGCTTGCTTGCTGTTTGCTCTAGCTTAGCAACTCGAATGCTCTGAATCTCTTCTGAATGCTTCTTGCATGCTGCTTGCATACTGCTTGCTCGCTGTTTGCTCTAGCTTAGCAACTCGAATGCTCTAAATCTCTTCTAAATGCTTCTCGCATGCTGCTTGCATACTGCTTGCTCGCTGTTTGCTCTAGCTTAGCAACTCGAATGCTCTGAATCTTTTCTGAATGCTTCTCGCATGCTGCTTACATACTACTTGCTTGCTGTTTACTCTAGCTTAGCAACTCGAATGCTCTGAATCTCTTCTGAATACTTCTTGTATGCTGCTTGCATACTGCTTGCTCGCTGTTTGCTCTAGCTTAGCAACTCGAATGCTCTGAATCTCTTCTGAATGCTTCTTGCATGCTGCTTGCATACTGCTTGCTTGCTGTTTGCTCTAGCTTAGCGACTCGAATGCTCTGAATCTCTTCTGAACGCTTCTTGCACGCTGCTTGCATACTGCTTGCTCGCTGTTTGCTCTAGCTTAGCAACTCGAATGCTCTGAATCTCTTCTGAACGCTTCTTGCACGCTGCTTGCATACTGCTTGCTCGCTATTTGCTTTAGCTTAGCAACTCGAATGCTCTGAATCTCTTCTGAATGCTTCTTGCATGCTGCTTGCATACTGCTTGCTTGCTGTTTGCTCTAGCTTAGCAACTCGAATGCTCTGAATCTCTTCTGAACGCTTCTTGCATGCTGCTTGCATACTGCTTGCTCAACACTGCTTGCTCGCTGTATTCAAGGCTCGAAAGCTCGAAAATCGAAGGCTCGAAGGTCAAAGGCTCGAAGGTCAAAGGCTCGAAGGTCCGAAAAGGATAGTGGTCTGATCGTTTGCTCTGCTCCTGCTCAGTATTAGCGCTGCTCCTAGGGAAAAAAAAAGATAGAAAGCCTCGCCGGATTGCCTCCTTTAAAAGGGCCAGGCCTCAAACTGTCAGGTGGAAAGGTTGCAAAGGCAATGTAGCGAGGTCTTTTCTCTCTTTCAGGGGTATACAACCAGAATAACATTGAGGCCTAAGGAGCTAAGTTCTGCTCAGCAGTGCTGACGTGGCTAGAAAGCCGCTTTATAGCCGCATATTGCTTAGTCATCCGTAATCCAGCTGGCTTAGCTGGCTCTGAGCCTTGCTGGCACAATCGGCCCTGACAACTAGCTGCTATTTGTTTTTTCAGAATTAATAGTAGTTATATGATATATATTCTTATTTGTTGCAATTATAGCAAGTAATATTATTCCTCTTGCTATACTGCTTATTAGTAGCATTAAATTTTATAGAATCAGTATATATAGTGCTACTTTAAGCTATACTGCTATATTAACTGCTATTTTTATATTAAAGTTTCTTGCTTATATTAGCTAGAAATCTTCAAATCTAGCTTTCTTTCTTCTTAAATTTCTCTATTTATTATTCATATAATCAGTTATTAATACAAATTGCTTGATTAGAGAATATTGCAAAGTTCTCTAGCTAATTCTGCTTGAAAATTTTATTCTTAATATCATTCTTGAATTTCTTATAATAATGCTTTATAAGATTCTTATCTTTCTATAGAAATCTTATTAAGAGTTACTTGAATCTAACTATATAAGCAGAAGCTAATTTAATTTGCTTGAGATTTATAAATTGCTAAGCTATAATACATTTTTTATTAAAATTGCTAAAAGTTTTCTTGAAAGCTTTCTTAAAGCTTACAAAGAAATTGAATATATCTTTAATATTCTGAATATATATATCGAAATTATTCTAATGCTTTAAGTAGTTATATAGAAAAAGCTTATATTAAATAAGAGTATTCTTTTCAAAATAAGTTCTTATAAGAATAGTTTTCTTAGATTTCTTAGTAAACTGAATTATATAGTATAAGAAGTATGCTCTGCAGTAAATAAGAAATTTATATAGTATCTTTTAGTTATTATTATATATAGCAAGCTTATTCATCTTATATATCTTTCTAGTATTACTAATAATTATAGAAATAAACTATACCTGCTAAGCTTATTAAACTAGCTAAGCTTGCTAATTAGCAATAATAGCACTCTAAGCTTGCTATTAATTATACAGATTCTGAATATACTAAGTAAGCTAGTATATCTAATTAATTAGTTCTTTCTAAATAAGAATATATAAGAATGAAGAAAATTCTTAAAAAGCTATTATATTCCGTATTGCTCAAGAAGATAATACTGAACTATTCTTAAACAAGAATTATCAAAATGTAATAAGCACTGCAGTAATCCGAAGATTCCAAAGTATACAAAGAGATTTATGCTAACAAGAGCAGTATTAGATATAAGCTTTAAATACGAAAATGCAATTAAGTAATTATACAAGTATTTACTGTCTTTGGAGCTATCAGAGTAGAGAATAATCTAATACTTAGATTAATAACTAAAGAGCTATAAACTGAATCTATCTAATAATAATAAATGTGCGAATATATATTCAGCTCTTTAGTATGAATATATTGGATAGCAACATATTCAAGTTATCCTGCTAGCTCTGAATAGCACATATCCCAAGCTATCCTTCCTAATTGGTTATGCTTGTAACCCTAACCCTGGGCTATGTAATCAATGTTTTGTCAGGATGTTGGATTCTTAACACCTGGTCCTTGTTTGCTTGTGACCTGTTTCGTGACTTGCATGTTGGATGAGTCATAACAAAAAGCTTCGAAAAGGAATTTTAGCTAATTACTTTAATTCAAACATTCTTATTGAAATTAAACAAACAAATAAATACTATAGAATAGAATTCCTAACAAAAGAAACATTCTTATTTAAATTAAACAAACAAATAACTATAGGATAAAATTCCTATTGAAATTAGATAACAAGCTATTTCAATTCCAGTAACTAAATGTTATTTGAAAATCTAAATTGAAACTAATTAAACAAAGAATGTATAAACAAATAAAGAATGTTATAATTTAATTAATAACAAAGAAATAAACAAATTAGTTGAATTAGTAAATTTCTATTGAAAGAAATTCAAAGATAAATAGTTTGTATATTTCCTTCTTAATTCAAGATAGAAATATAGTATTAAGCAATTCAATCAAGCTTTTTAACCAACTATCAACTATTCCAACCAACTAGTATTTCCCTCTTTCTACTACCTTTTGAAGCTGCTTATTAGAAAATATTTCTTTAAATGCTTATGAAAGTTATTATATTTATTATTATTTGTAATATTTTAAGAAATATCTTTCTTTATTATTTTCTTTAAAAGCTAATTCTTTCTTAAAGATACTAAAGCAATCTAAATTGCTATTATTCAGAATTATATTATAAATTAGTTCTTTTCTTCTTATTACTAGTTGTTTAATCTTTCTTTATAATACTTTCAAGAATTATTCTAAGCTTTTCTTATTTGAAAGATATATTAAGCAGTTATTATTATAGCAGAATATTCAGCTAAGATTTTTATAACTAATAGAATCTAATATTTGCTTCGAAAAAATGTTTTTACTTAGCTGATTGAATTGCTATACTTGTATTATATTAAGCTATTATTCTTCAGAAACAGATTTCCATTGTTAAAGCTTCTTGAATTAGTTAAAAGATAGTAGAAAGAGGGAAATACTAGTTAGTTGGAATAGTTAATAGTTAGTTGAAAGGCTTAATTGAATTACTTAATATTATATTTCTATCTTAAATTAAAAAGAAAATATACAGATTATTTATCTTTGAATTTCTTTTAATAGAAATTTATTAATTCAACTAATTTGTTTATTTCTTTATTATTAATTAAATTATAATATTCTTTATTTATTTATATATTCTTTGTTTAATTAGTTTCAATTTAGATTTTCAAATAATATTTAATTACTAGAATTGAAATAGCTTATTATCTAATTTCAATAGAAATTTTATTCTATAGTTATTTATTTATTTAATTTAAATAAGAATGTTTCTTTTGTTAGAAATTCTATTCTATAGTATTTATTTATTTATTTAATTTTAATAAGAATATTTGAATTAAAATAATTAGCTGAAATTCCTTTTCAAAGCTTTTATTTCTTAGTTTAAACTAATCAATAGCTAAGAAGAGATAATTATATTATTCAGTTTTCTTGAAAAAGGATTTATTAACTCTGTTCAATATCTCGATTAGGAAAGCGTAATCCAATATATAAAGAACTTGCTAAGAAACTTATAAAAGATTATTAAGAATAATAATTAATAGAAGAGAGATAATATTATAATCCATCTAGCATACAGATTACAGAATAAGCTCTGCTAGTAAGGAAGACAGGGAATACAGCTCAAAAAGCATAAATATGCTTAAGAAAAGATTAAGTAATCAAGGGTTAGAGCTAAACAGAGGTGAATTATCAGGATTACTAGAATCACTAAGAGCACAGCTTACTAAGCTTACTGAATCACTGCAGTAATCCATAAGATATCACAAAAACAGTAATCTATACTGAAGAGCTGAATATATAAGAATATATTCATTATTACTAGATAAACCACCAGAATATAGCTCTTCAATCATCAATCTAAGTATTCATTTGTTACATACTTGAATAGCCCCAAAGGCGAATGAATAGCACTTGCACGGATTACCCAGTTACAGTTCTGTATTCAGTGGATTCTACTTTGATACTGCTCTTGTTAGCATAAACCTTTTTGTATACTACAGATCTTCGGATATTGCAGTGCGCTCATTACAATTCAGCTCTTCAGTATAGCTCTATAGATCTGATAGCAGATTCATTGATCCATGATATGAGGATCTGAGGATCTCCGAGCAGATCCATAGATCCTCCTTTTATTACAATCCTAACCCTGGGTTATATAATACTGTCTGTTGTCCAACGCTGGGTTGTGACACCTGGTCCCTTGTTGGCAGGGCCTTCTCTGTGACCTGCATGCTGGATGGGTTATAACATGGTTGCTACTTTAATATCGCTCTTGTTAGCATAAACTCTTTGTATACTTTAGGATCTTCGGATACTGCAGTGCATCATTACATTATATCCCTTTCGACAACATACTGGCCCGCTATTGTAAACAATGCACTAATCAGCACCCAAGCTTTCATAATTTGCTCATATATTTGGCGAGATCATAGTTCGGCTGCAAAGGTTGAATGCAGGGATTGGCTGTACTCATGCCTGCTGAGATCTCCTGGGCCTCCCCTTCACTGGCATTCTGAACATCCTGGATATGACCTTGTGCAAGCAAGTTCTTGATGCCATTGTCTGCTGCTTCTGATTCCTCAGTTTCCAGGATAGTTGTTGGAATCTGGCCATGGATCTCGCCCCCGCCATCCTCCCTATTCTGAGAAGAACTAACATCCAAGCAATCATCAGAAGACAATTTCATGTAAAGCTTTATTAGGACCAGAACTTACAGCATTTCCTTGAGATTGTTCGTCTCCAGTGTGCTTGTCACAGGTGCTTTTCGCATTTGGTCTTGAATTCACGCCTGGATTTGCTCAATTTTGAATGGTTCTGGTAGACGGAGAATGATAATAATGAAAGCATCTCGTGTTTCCCAAGTCATATGCCATAATCATCCACATTTATAAAGGAATTGACCAGGGACTTATACGTGATGATGACGTCGGTGTTCCGTAGCTGTTCTGAAACAGGGGCAGCATATACGACGGGAATGCCACGAGCCGAACTGCACGATCCTAGCTGAGCCCGTGTTCCGGGCGATAAGACGTTGAGGCGCCTGCAAAGGCTGCAAAGGGGTGCCCGATTTGGTGTGGTCACGACATTGAGCAAAGAGCTCCTAAAGTAATTATTCGTGTCGGCCGCTCCATGGGACAAGAAGTGTTCACAACCTCGGAGGAGGCTCCTACAATTACTGTCCCGAATTGCATGGTGATCACGGTGATTATAGAAATCTATATCTTAATGATACTGTGAGGTCCTGTGCTGTGAGAACCAGGAACTTTGCTTCTCGGAAACCCATCGAGTATATATTGATCAACGACTAAACAGGTGTCAATAGAGGCTTGAGGTCTGAAACAGCTCTTAGCTAACAGCCCTTCCGGATTCCGAAAGTCACTACCGGGTCAATCATGCAATCTTGGCATCCTTTCTCGGGCCTGCAGCTTTCAGAGCCTTGAACGCCACTATGGTCTCTCTGGTGCTCTGAAGCAGCAGGATGGAAGGTATGACAATCCAGAAGGAGTTGAGCAGAACATAGTATCCCCAAAAGTATGCTCTGTCCGGGCGCGAATATGCCGTTTCCCGCACAAGCTCCTCGAAGGTGCAGATGGCGTAGTACAGAACGTCTCCGTACAGTTGTCCTAAGCTGACGATGAATTGGACTGGGTGGCGGGCAGGGTGGTCGGCAGCAATGTAGTACGCGCACAGTAGAGATAGTGGGCCCCAGAACACTGCCGTGATGGTCTCCATGCATACAGTCTGGCGTTGTGTTGTGTTAGAGCCACATCCTGTAAGGCTTGGGGGAGATTAAGAATAATGAAGAGGTAAGAAACAAGGTGCTGGGGCATTGGCGGAAAGCTGAGAGAGATGTCCTTACAAAAGTATCGGATGTGAGATAGCGGGAATCTGATAGTGAGTACTCTTTCCACATTTGGCCCATCAGACCGCCGTCACCACCCAAGGTGGAGTGGTTGAATGCGAAGTAGCCCTGGAAACAGTGAGCGGCCCAGTTGTAACATGTTGGAGGCGGAGGACAAGGTCTTTCTTCCTACCTCGACGACGATGTGGATATACCCGCAGAGGACAAACCACAGAGCGGTAGCGAGCTCGCTGCTCGGCAGGCCAGATCGCCTCCTGTTGATGAGGAAGAACGCTGGAGATAGCGCAGCTGCACACAGACTACAGAAGTACATCAGAATGGCGGGCGTGGAGAGGGTATTCGCGACGTAGCCTGTAGCCAGGTGAGTATACGAGAAGATGCTCGAGGAGGGGATGGAGAGAAAAGGCCCGAAACGTAGCATCGATACCGACCTTGAATCACGACGCCTGGAGGATAGTAAGGGTGGAGTGGGAGGTCGGGCTCCCCTGAGAAGGCGTGCGCATCCTGTGCGGCCATTGTGTTGTCTTTTGTGAGATGTAATCGAGTATGATGCGCTCCTTCCTGAACGATGATTTAGATGGGCAGGAATCCTCCAGTTGATCTTTCTCTGGGATGGCAAGGGTTAGGGTCGCACAGGGTATTCCGCCTACTCCCTAACACCTCGGGTATTCAAGGAAAGCACGTACTTGACTGGCTCCCCCAGATGTGTTCTCCCCAAAGGACATCGACCATCAACAATCGGCTGTCGTTGGTGTCAGTCGATGAGGACAAGAATGAGTCACAAGCCGGGGCCTCTTGTAGGAGCCATTATATCACCAGTCTGTCGACCACGATGGAGGAGTGCAGCATCTCGACTTTTCCCCAGCGGCCATAAGCGCTGCCTTCAGACAACACAACAGTGGCGGACTGATGGCGTCTTCAGAGGTCTCACAGATGATCGACTGCCTATGCCATGGATCGAGGCCTTCAGGCTCCAGAAGGCTGGAAAGGGTGTAGCTACTGCGTCTGAGGCGCAGCCCCAGGAGCGCGACCTCAGCCCGCGGAGGATGAAGGACAGTTATCACAGGGTCGTCCTACCGCTTGGCCAGGATCCATGGCTCTCGGACCAGTATCTCAACAGCTCGGGACATATCAGGTAATGTTTTGTATATTATACCTAGCCATACAGAAAGCAAATCTTCAGCATCTGGCCTGCTTCAGCTGTGCCCCCTGCTGACGTCGCCGCTCCAAAAACCGTTCAAGGCTGGGAACAATCTTTATGGATTTGGATGCTCTCTCAGGGATCGTGGTATACAAACACACAGGCCCTGGCGTGACTGTGGTGACTGCTGCTCTTGACCGCATCACGATAGCACACCCCCTGACCGAGATCACGGACCTGGAGTACAGCGGGCAGGTCACGTACGCCACCGGGAGGAGCAGCCTCGAGATCACCTGCAGGGTTGCACGTGCAAGGCCTGAGGGGGAGCCCAGCAGGCCAGAGGACGTTCTCCTTACCTGCACCTTCACAATGGTCGCCCTGGACCCTGAGACTAAGAAGCCCGTCAACGTGCCACGCCTCATCTGCGAGACTGACGACGAGGAGAAGATCTTTAGGGCTGGCGAGGCAAAGTCCCTGGCCAAGAGGGAGGTGTCAAAGATGTCCCTGCTGGCCACTGAACCCAACGATCCCGAATCGGCCCTGATCCACCAGATCTGGCTCAAGCAGATCCAGTGGCATGATCCTAATGACCCTTCTCGTCAGCCATCCAATGTCGTTGCCATGTCCTCGACACAGCTATCCACCGCGTCCATCATGCAGCCGCAGGTAAGTTTCTCTCTCTCTCTCTCTCTCTCTCGCTGTGTGTGTGTGTCTGCTTCATGATATGAAATTCTGAACCGCTGACATAATTACTCACCCCGTCCCTCCCTGAAATCTAGTATCGGAACAGACATCAGACCATGGTCTTTGGGGGCTTCCATCTCAAACAGACCTTTGAGCTCGCCTTCTGCGCCGCGGCCAGTTTCGCCCACGCGAGACCTACTTTCATAAGCGCAGATCCTTGTATCTTTCGCAACCCTGTGCCCATAGGTTCGGTCTTGTACCTCACTGCCACGGTGGCCTACACTGACCCCCCCGTGGTGGGTTTCCCTTTTTACCCCATGCGACCACCACTTGATGCGCTGAAAGCCGCTGATTATTCATATCGTATGCATCTACTAGCTGGAGGAGGATGGTAGTGGGCCGCAGCAGAGTAACCCGTCGAAACCAATGACCCGGGTTCATGTGCGAGTCGATAGTAAAGTCAGAGGTAAGTTGTTCTTACTATTACCTCTCTCGACACTGCGAATTTCTTGTGTGCAGTCTAGTAGGATGGCATGATTTAAGTCAGGCTTCTTGCACCCACAGGGTCCATAGTCAGAAGATGCGACCATGTGCTGACCTCTCTTTTTTGCGATTATTCTTATGTAGATGTCGAGCACGGGAATGCCAAGTCGACTGGCCAGTTCAATTACACCTTTTCAGTGCCCAAAGACATCAAAGTCATTCCGCATTCCTACTCCGAGTACATGATGTATATCGACGCGAGAAGAAGAGTTAAACTAGGCGATATGCAGTCTCGCCAGCTGGAGGAGACCGACTCCTCTGTGCAGGAGCGAAAGCGCCTCACCGAGGATGGTAATCTCACCGAATAAGGGATATACAAGCATATATAGACAAGCTAATCCAGCAGATGTGTTGTAATGTTCAAGGCTTTCTTTCCCGTTGTCTTCTTCAACCATGTACAAAGAAATTCAGACCGCAAAATTACTGCCCTGAGTGTGTGACCAGGTCGGCGTCATTTCCGGGGGAGGACCAAAAAGCCGCCGCATAAGATAGGCTTCTGAAACACCAAGCAAGTGGATACAATGCAACCGTCCAAGCAATCGTACAACTCCCTACCAGAGGCTTTCTTGCAGAGGGATTTTCTTCTCCTTCAAGTCATGGTATTCCCTCTAGTTGCTGCTTCCGGTGATGACAAGCGCAGGCTTTTCAGTTCCTGCAGGGGTGGGATGTCCTCCAACATGCCAGCCGTTAGCTTATCCCATAGTATGCCGCACCTTGGCTTGCTGACGCTGGCGTCTGCCGCGGTTATGAGCCTGGTGGGCGTGATGATCAAGTCGCATACGGTGTCGAAGGCCTCCGGGACCAGCTCCTCGTCCAGCACCTGGCAGTCATGGACAACGGCGGCAGTGGTTGTGTGCGGGCCGACGATGCCGATAGAGTACAGCATAGCCCATTCCAGGTCGAAGAAGCCGTGGCCCTTACCGAAGCGGATGCCCTTCTTGTTGATGGCGCCCGTGCCCGTGACCATCAGCCCGACTTTGAGGTGCATGGCGGCGATGTCCTGGAGGGTGACAGGCGTGCCGATCTTCTCCATGCCGTCCAGGGTGGCGGCATATTTGAACAGCGCCGGGTTGTCGATCCGTGAGGGGTCCAGCAGCCAGAAACCCCTGCGGATGCCATAGGTGGTCATGAGGATCTTGACTCCCGCGGCGAGGGTCTTCTCGCGCAGGTGCTCGAGGCAGTTGTCTGGGGTGATGAAGACACAGGTGCATGCGGTGAAGGAGGGGTGGGCCAGGAGGGTCTCGTTGGCCGCCTGGGAGCCCTCGAAGTCGGCGATAAAGCTCGAGAAGTCGAAGTGGAAGCGCGAGTCTGGGAGGGCGACCTTGCGCAGCTCAGTCCAGATCTTGGAGCGGATTTCAGCTTTGTGGTCAGCACCACCGTGAGCAAGAGACATCTCTGTCGGAGATATGTGCTGTAGGTACTATATGTTTGGATGTTCTGATTCGTGTGGGTGAGATCATTAACAGGTCGGTCGACCAGATGAGTCTGGGAGATCAAATACTGAGTAAGTATACTACTGCTTCTACCACTACTACTGGACGTCAGTAGGTGTTGATGGATATATTCTGCTGTTTCACTCAGATCGCTCTCTCCACTGCGGTCTCCCGCCGCCGGAATGTATTGCCGGACAGCCTGGCTATACTCCCACATGTATCGAGGATGACCAGACAAAAAACAACCTCCACACCTTGTTCTCCAGGCTGTGATGTATGCTAGATAAGCACAGAACCTAGTCCTGCATACAACCTTTTTTTTCCTTCTTTCTTTCTTTTTCCCTGGTGCCTTGACGTGCATGCCACGTTCCCGACTCTCTGGGTCAAAGACGGAATGGTGACCTAGGACAGCTGCATCCCGCATGCTACGAGGTGGGTACCATTCCTTTACCATGGACGTACATACGTCTTCTGCAGTGTGCTGTGCATCCGCTTGATCTGCTGTGCATGGTCGCAATCTATGGTCGCAAGTCTAACCTCGTGGCACCACCAATCATTCGTAGTGCTCGTACATACTTTGAAAGGTAGTACTATGGATGGAGCAGCTGAAGGTGCCCGAGGCAATGTACTGTACAAAGCCCGCCCTCCTTTTTTCTCTCATACTTCAAGACTGCATCACGAGAACTGGACGGAAGGGGGGCGACGATATGGCAATGTAAAGGGAACGCGTGATGGAAATGTGTCAAGATAGTCATTCCACGCCATAGTATACGTACTGACAGTAGTTGTATCAGCTGAAATCTGGGGGAGATGCCGGAGGCCACGACGACTAATTTGACCACGACCGCCCATAGTAGGATAGTACATACTTAGTATATATATTGAAGGCCTAATTTGAAAATGCCCCCGAGGGTGCCGAGTCAAGGGCCTTAGCTTAGTACTGTCTCTTTCTTAAAAAAAAAAAAAAGGGGGCTTCTCTACTTACGTATGGAAGTCGAGACGGACATTCAGGGCTCAACCCTGTGAGGATTGCTCCGGATAAGAAGACGTGCAGCGGGAGCTAGTTCCGGCAAAGCTGAGCAAAAGGGAAGATGGGCATGAAAGATAATGTGGCAGCGGAATGCGGCGATGCCCTGTGGCCAGTCTGAGTGAATCGTGGGCGATAACACGGCCATCGCCTGCGCAGTAGGTTCATTATCTTGGAGAGAGATAGAGGGAAGATGGCTTCGACGCCAGTAATGAACCAGACCGTCGTCCAGTCAAGAGATGACGATAAATGCAAGTGGTCGACGATGGTTGCCAAGAGGTAATAGTACGCATTGAGAAATCAAAAAACTGTATCATGAACGAATGTACTGTGCTACGCAAAATACTATGTAGCGGTACTTGTTGCTTGTAAATTGTACGAGCATAAAATAGAATGAGTGGAACCACTCAAAGAGCAGTTCCCACTGCAGAGAAACGTCCCACAGCAGGAGGGGAATCCTTGGGAGTTAGTTCTTGGAAAGCGATTGGTTCCTTTGTTTTCTCCCCCTCCTCTTCATTCTTCCATTCTGAAGTATGTCTTGATGTTTCTCGAAATTTGATAATCTGCTGCTGGTGCTTATGTGCCAAGCCAAATCGGTCCATCTGTCACTTTTTTTCCTCACAGATTCTGTCCTATCCGAGCATGGTATGCACACGAACAAGAAATACCAAGAGGCATGGCGACGCTTATCTCGACGTGCCACCACCTGGGCATTTTCAACCCCACCACACCACCTTCAACCCCTTGTCGTGGCGCGTCCCACCCTTGCCGGGGGGCCCCTTCTTTAGGGCTCAACCGCGGCTCGAAAACCGCCCGCGACGGCCGGTCCGCTATCTCTGCAGGAATGCCAATCAAGGGCCTTCTCGATCGATTCTCTCCAGCTCCCTAGTCCTGTCTAGCAAGGATGACCACCGACCCAGATAAAAAAGAAATTTCTCAAGTTCGACACAGCTGAGAGTTGAAGTGGCCTGTTGTTTCCCTCTTTCCCTCCTCGTTTTCGCTCAGACAAATACATACGACTTCAAAGGGAGGAAAGAAGAAGAAGAGGGGGGGGGAAGGAGCTAACGGAAGGAGAGAAAAAAAAAGAGGCAGAAGTAGACGAATAGGAGAATGACGAGGAAGTAATGATGGGGGACGATAACACTAATTAAGTACTTAATTAGCCTGTCTTGTCTCTTGCCTTTTGCAAACGCTTCTAGAGCGTGTTGGTTTCGGAGGTACGAGAAAGAGAGAGAGGAGGGGGGGTGAAGAGAGAAGAACCAAAATATCCCTCTCACTGCTTCCCATACAAACCATGTACTCCTACTACTTTACTGGTACCAGTCAATCTATACTTGGGTATGAATAATTCGCCTTACCACCCCTGTTCTGCTCACACCTTATCGCAGCTGTGGCAGCCAGACCCCCATCCTAATCCTGGGATGGGCCAGGGACAGAAGATGTACTGTACCTGGTGCTGGTCTCCATAGTTTATTAGTTCCAGAAGCTCTTGATTCAAAAGTAGGGTCCTTTCCGGTCCTTTTCCAGTGTTGTGTGGCGGCTCTGAATCGTGTCTCGTGCCTTTTTCTTTTTCTCCTCCTCCACCGACCACGACGGTTGTCACACGACGATCACTATCTCGCCCAAGTCCCTTTGATCGGAGTTGAGCCGAGCCGGGTCGAGAAGAAGAGTTGCTGTTGTTGAAGCTGAGCTGTGCTCCCTCTCCTCCTCCTCCACCAGGTTCCGGACTTGACCGAGCGAGAGAGTGTCTGTGAGAAACAGATAGAGAGAGAAAGAGATATAGAGACAGAGAGAATACAGGAAGAGGCAGAAGAGAGCGAGAGATACACCCACACCCAGGGAAAATGGCATCGCAATCACCACCCGTGGTCGAAAAGGAAAAGGGCGATATCGAAAAGTCGACGCATCGCAGCCCCGACGACAGCAGCGATGTCGCCGACTCGACCCTCGCCGCCCTCCAGCGCGTCAAGACTGCTGACGAGCACCACCCCATGCACTGGGGCTCCTTCAAGAAGTGGTTCATCGTCTTCTGGTACTGCATGCTGCAGGTCTTTGTGACCCTCACCACCACCACCTACGTCAGCGCCGAGTTCCTCGTCCAGGATCAATATGGCGGCTCTACGCAGATTGTTGCCCTCGGCCAGTCCATGTTCATCATAGGCACTGCTATCGGACCAGCCTTCCTTGGACCCCTCTCGTATGTCTCTCTTCTTCTTCTTCTTCTTCTTGTTGTTGTTGTTTCGTGTGTGTTTCTTGCTGACTTGGCTTTCCTCTCCTCGCAGTGATATCGGCGGTCGCAAATGGGTCTATGTCGTGGCTATCTTCATCTACGCCATCCTCAACATTGGCTGCGCAAAGGCCCTTAACCTGCCCATGCTCATCATTTTCCAGTTCCTCTGCGGAACCGCCGGCAGTGTGGCTCTGTGCAATGTCGCCGGCACCATCGCTGACCTGTTCGGCGACTCTGACGGCGCAGGTCAGCCCATGGCCCTCTTCGTTGCCTCTGCCAACACAGGGCCCAGCCTAGGCTCGCCCGTGGGCGAGTGGATTACTGACAACGTCAACATGGGCCTGCCCTGGATCTTCTGGATCAATGTTATCATTGGTGCCGCCTTTGCTGTGGGCATGTGCTTCCTCCCGGAGACACTGCCGCGCATCGTTATCGCCAATGCTGTCAAGAAGCACCAGTCCGAGAACCCAGAAGAGATTGCTATCGCTGAAGAGCGCATCGACGTCGCCAAGGAGATGCGCTTCGTCACCACCATGGCCCTGCGCATTATGGTCACCGAGCCCATTGTCATCTTCCTGGGTCTGTATAACGGCTTTGCCTATGGCCTGCTGTTCCTGTATCTGGACGGCGTCTTTGACGTCTTTGTGTTTAACAATGGCCTCTCGTGAGTTAACTACGCTGTATTCATCATCCGCCCTCCCCTTTCTGACCTTTGCGTTCTTCCTCGATAGATACATCGGCGCCGACCTTACCTACCTGAACTTTGTTGTCGGCGTGGCCATCATGTTCTGCATCGTGCCCCTCCAGACCTGGCTCTACAAGCGCGACCGTCTCAAGCACGGCACCAACCGCCCCGAGGCCCGCTTCCTCACCTCGCTCGTCGGCGTCTGGGGCTTCCCCATCTCTCTGTTGTGGTTCGCTTTCACCGACGACGGTAGCGTCAGCTACTGGTCGCCCGTCATCGCCGGCGGCCTGCTCGCCATCTGTGATCCTTTCCTGTGGCTGGCCATGCTGAACTACCTTACCGACTCGTACCCCAACGTGGCCGCCTCCGCCGTCGCCGCATTCCTGATCCCCAGTTTCCTCATCGCCGCCGGCTGCGCCCACGCTGGTATCGCTATGTTCGAGAACATGAGCACAAAGTGGGCCATGGCCACACTGGGCTTCGTCTCCTTTGGCCTGGTCGCCCTGGTGTATATCCTCTATTTCTTTGGACCTCAGATCAGGGCTAGGTCTAAGTTGGCTCGCAAGTTTTAGATGACTGTCTGCGTGTTCTATGTAGACGTTGGTAGTAGATAATTGGTTTTGCCTTTTGGATCCTTTTGAGGTGATCTCTTTACTTTTTGGACTTTTGGAGATTTTATATCCAGTGGACATAGAGGGTGGGGGCGAAGTGATATTTATGAATGCGATAGAGAAGGAGGAGGCGAGAGAGCAAAAATTAAAAATAAGGAAGAAACAAAACAATATATATATATATGTGTATCTACATACCTGATCCCAACCTAAACATGACTTCAGGTCCGCCTAGTAGTGAGAGGCAACCTCATACAAGTCTTTCTCATCGAACCTTGCTTTGCATTGCATAGGGCTGCGTGCTAAGTTGAGTGAAGAAAAAAAAAACCACCTCTAATAAGCCTATCGTGGTGTCCTTCTTCTCAGTGCCGTTGAAAGCCTCTAACGATGCTGAGCAGCGGCTAGGGTCTTTCGAGGGGAGGGGGTGTGAAGAAGAGGCCCAGGAAGCCCTGAGCCGCCAACGCTATTCGCCAATCAAACGACCCTGCAGGCCCTGCGTCCCCGCCCCCTCCAAGTACCCCCCGGTAAACGGTGTACTACCAAAGTACAGCCCGCTAACGTACAGCAGTATCTTATAGTGTTCAACACCGCCAAAACTTTTTTTTCTGCCGCATTTTAGATCGTCTCCAGTTCTCTTTCTCTCTCAAGCTCCCAGCACCGCCAAGAAGAGGGGAAGACCCTAACAAACATAATTGCACTTCCCTACTGGACTTATTCTCGACCTACATCAAAGGATATCAAACCTCCAGAGATCGATCGCCATGGCATCATCGCAGGAGAATTCCATGCCGTTCATCAGGAACATGGCCTCCAGTGGTAAGTGAGCCCCATAATTCATCCCCCGTTTCCCACTTCATCTTCTTCTCTCCTCCCTTCCCCTGCAGCGAGAAGCAAGCAAGGCAGACTCAATGACTAACTGTGTTGTCTCTCTTTTCTTCTTCTTCCCCCCATCTAAAGACCGCAAGGCACGCGAGCAGGCCTTGGCCTCCCTATGCACATTCCTCTCCGCAAAACACATCTCGTCCTCGCTCTCCACCCTCGACATTCTCAAGCTCTGGAAGGGCCTTTTCTACGCCCTCTGGATGTGCGACCGCCCGCTGCCCCAGCAGCAGCTCTGCAGGGACCTGGCCGAGCTCGTCTGGATCCTACCTGAGGAGGCCGTCGCTCCCTGGCTGCGGGGTTTCTGGGCCACCATGGCCCGCGAGTGGACCACGGGCATTGACGTGCTCCGCATGGAGAAGTTTCTGTTACTGGTGAGAAGGGTACTGGGTGTAAGCCTTGTGTGGGCGCAGAGCCGGGCGTCCGAGGCGGCCAAGACAAAGAAGACGACGACGAACAAGAAACAGGCCGGTGGCAGCAGCGCTAGCAGGAAGAGGAGGGCCGATGGCAAGGCGGTGGCCGCCGACGAAGCCAAGACCAACGACGAGGTCAGGTGGGATACAGATAAGGTCGAGCAGGTGTTGCGTCTGCTTGCGGACTGGCCCCTGCGGCCCGACGAGGAGAGCAGGCGCGAGCCGGAGGAGGATGGCCTCATGCCCAAGATGGTCCCCGTCGGCCTCAAGCTGCACGCCGTCGACATCTGGGTGGACGAGGCCGAGAAGGCAGGCATGCTTGAGGGAAGCGAGGACGAGAGTGACGCCGGCGGAGACGAGACGAAGAATAAGCGGGAAATGAAGAAGAAGAAGACGGAGGCTAGCAACGATACTTTGTCTGGCCGCGAGGTTCTGCAGCGCATCAACGATCTGGTCGAAACCCTGCGCAAAGAGACGCTCAGCACTGCGGTGCGGATACGATCCAAAGACTCGCTGGCCGACGACCGTCTACCCTGGAACCGGAGCAGTGGAGATGAGGCGGACGGCAAGGACGATGACGATGAGGGGTGGGGTGGCCTGGGTGAATGAGCTTAGTACGAGGTGCTGGCCCCCTCTCGAGACAGGCCTAAAAGGGTTCAGGAGATACCAACAGGCTCATTCAGAACGGAAGGGAGTGGAAGGGAACGGATACACTGCTTACCAGGCATGGCGTTGGCGTTCACGGCTGATTCAGATATGGACGGGCGGCGTGGCATCGGTGGATTATGTGATAGATACCCCGACCTGATTCATCGGCTTCCAAGGAATCTATTATTAAGTTGACTGATTATATCGAGTGAACATGTGACCGCTTCGATGTCCAGCGCCTGTTCTTGTAGCAAGCCCATACTTTCCAATACTCTTTCTTCCCCGCTTTCTCCTTCTCTCCTTTCTTTCTTCCTGTTCACCTCTCTCTATGGGTATCACTTTCTTCTTCTTTTCTCTTTCTAGACGCTGATCTGCTGCCTTATGCCTTACGTACAAAGGCCGCAAACAGAGCTTAGGCCGGCAGGAATGCTGCTAAATAGAATGTTGGACATTTCTCCTGACAGTTCCCCGAGACCATTCTCGTGTGCTGGATGGTTTTTCAAGCCATCAGCCGCTGGGCCGGAGTGACCTTATCCCAGTTCTTGGGCCCCGGTGCTTCCACTGTGCCTCTCTTGGTAATCACCATGCCCAGCCCAGGATGCACTTCGGCTTGGAATGGCTCAAACGGCACCTTCTCGCCGTCGATGCTGATGTACCCGTGCTCGTACTTGGGGACAATGCGGAATGCCGACACTTTGAAGTATTTGACAAGGGGGTGGTCGATGAACGTGTTATCACTGCTGGACGCGAACAGGCCAAGAACCTTGGAAAAGGGCACGTCGGCATTGATAATGTAGACGTCTAGAAATCCATCATTCATCAGGGCGGCGTTGAAAAAGAGTACGTCAGGTGCCATCCAGGCGAGCTGCGGATAGTTTGGTCAGGTCAGCCACACACGCACACATAAAGGCAACTTTGATGGTCAGTGCAGGGTAGAGAATGGTCAGTGTCACTCACATTGCCGGTGAAGATGGTTCCGATCTTGTCGGCGTCCACCTTGACCCAGTCCTCGGGGATTTTGTCGTCCGTGGTGCCGTATCTCAGCGGCGGGAGGCCTTTCTCGCCCGCCTGGCCCTCCCTGTCCAAAGATGGCGCCGCGGCGAGGTCCGGGCCCACGACGCTGCCCTCCCTGTGTCTCTTGTAGTGATCCCGCACGCCCTCCTTGTGCTCGACCTCCATCTTGACGTACAGCTCGCAGGGGTACTCCTTCTTCTTGAGGATGCGGGTGAGGGCACCGTACATGAACCGGGCGCTACCCATCCAGCGCAGGTGCTCGGTGGCCAGGTCGGCCTCGGCCATGACGCCCAGGGTCTGGCTGAGGAAGGACAGGGTGCGTGTGCCGCCCTGGGTGATGCTGATTAGGTCTATCGGGGTGGGCACGCCCTTGACGATGGCCAGGGCGGCCAGAGAGGGCCGGTGGGTGCCGAAGACGTTGCAGGCCAAGGCATTGCCGCTGCCGCAGGGCACATGGGCCACGGCGATCTTGTGGAGGGCGCGGCTGGCATCGGGCCTGCTGCCTAGCCCGTTGTAAACCTCATAGGCCAGCCCGTCGCCGCTGCAGGGGACAACAATGTCGAACTTGTCTATGTCCATCTGGCGCACCAGGTCCAGAGCCTCCCCGGAGCGCGTGGTCGTGTGGATCGTCATGGGCATACGGGCAGCCTCGAAGATGGGCTTGACCTGGTGATCCCACTTCTTCTGTGCGCCGCCGGGTCCGGCGTGGGGATTGACGAGCACATAGGCGGTCTTGCATCGTGGTGCTGGGCCGTATGCACGGCTCATGAGTGTATCGACCCATCTCGTGATGGCCTCGGAGTCCGCAGGAGCGGACGAATCCTCCCCCTCTCCGGGCGCTGAGGTTGTTGCTGCTGCTGTGAGCGTGGTCGAGAACGACAGCTTAGCAGCCTGCAGCTGCACATCGGTGACATTCTCGGCGTAATCAACGGTCAGGGTGTGCTGGTCAGCTGAGAGCTCAGCCCAGAGGACGTTGTAGAGCGGGATAGACCGCGGGGCACTGGATCTTCGTGAAGGGCCTATATGTCCCAACGGGAGAGGGGATGGCACGAGCCGTCAGCGTCTGCCACAGCCACCAGCCAGTCTGTGTAAAGAGGGTTCTCCGGACGACCCAAGCTTCTGGAGCGCCTGGCGTGGAACGTACCTGAGGCACGAGGTATGCATGACCGGTTGCTCTTGTGGCTTGTTGTACTCGACGTGCCATCTGCGCAATCAACCGATGATCAGCGGATCTTATCGTCTACCTGGCACGGCTTTGGTCGGGGTGTTTGTACCTCGGACCAGCAGAGAATCTTCTTGTATCGTGAGGGAGACATTCTCGCCGAGGCGTAGGGTGTCATCGGGAGACCGGACCAAGGGCTCGGGTTTCGGTGATTGATCGGCCATGCCTAGGCGGTGTCGAATCTGGGGAAGAGAACGAGCGGATGACAAGTAGCACCAGGCAGTAGGCTGGCAATTCAAGTTTTTCTTTGGAAAGGAGAAGGGTATAGAAGTGGTAAAAGTGGATTTGTAGCGGTGTGCTTTCTTAATTGGTCGCGTCTGAAGTAAGTCTTCGCGTCGACGGCGAGGTGTTCTGAAGGACAAGTAATAAGATGCAAGGACCCAAAAGAAGAATATTACGCAGAGACACAAGGAGAAATGTACAGGCCACGCATCAAGATCAAAACGAATGACTGTATTCTCTGATTATGTACGATATGTACCTTGAGTTGTATGTGCTGGGATGAAATATCCGAATTGCAAAAGGGAAAGAAGAAAAAGGAAGAGAAAAAAAAAAGGGAGAGGAAGATAAAACGGAAAGGACGAGAGGTTACAGGGGCCACGGGAAGTTGCATGTGAGGCGTGTACACTATGTACAGACTAAGTACACATGACCACCGAAGTGGAGGAGGATACCTGCCGTGTACATGCGAGTACCTGGAGAGCAGTACGACCATATCGAGAAACCCAACCGAGGTCGCTTTGCTCTTGCTTCATTACTACTAGTACTATGCATATTACTATGCTGTGCTATGTAAGTACTAAGTAGTTTTGTTTTTTGTTCCGGGAATGCCATTATTACTTACTCTGCTTGTTGACCATCAGTTCTTCCGCGGGTCCCGAAGCATCCCACGGATTAGAGGAATTGCCTGGCTTGGACATAATCAGAATTTATGCGACCTTGCCAGCATGATTAGACCAGACAGTCATGTAGGAAAAATAATAGGAAGAAAAAAAAGCTAGACAATACTTCTTGCAAAGTATGGGGGTGGTTTTGAAGGATTGCACCATGTACTATGTATGCACTTATAGTACATGTCATATCCTAGCTGTGCAGGCAGTCCAAGGCTCTGGTCTTACATAATCCACCCCCAACTCCAACACTTGCTCTTTCTCTTAATGCCCCATTGCAGTCACCCCATATACTACATACAACTTAATGACGACAACATTACCACAGCAAATTTGATGCACCACAGCACTAAGTGAGCAGGGCAGCTTTCAACACTTGATATCTATTTTATAATTCCACCCACCTGCAGCTCCGGTATACGTTGCTGCTCAAGCAGACAAGGTGGCTCGACTCTTCTGGTCACGTCCCCAACGTCCAGACCCGGACTCCCCGGCGTCATCTCCCTCCGCGCCTCCGCCACTGCCGTCCCGCGATATCATGAGCGAGCCTACGGCTCAGCCAAAGCTCACACCGCAGTTCTGCTTCTCTTCGACAGCATTACGTGGTATGTATACCATTCTTCCCCTTTGTCTGTTGTGGGGAAAAATAATGAGAGCTCATGTCTGACACCATTGCCCACTACCCCCCTGCTCCTCCCCCGATAGACTTCCTGCGGATCTCCCGCGGTACGATTGATGATACCATCGCCCAGAACCTGAACGCGCTCGTCACTCCTGCATCGGCAGGCTTCGATCCCAGCTCGACATGGCAGCGCAACCCGCGACCGTCGAACCACCGCCAGATCGACGCCCGCTCATGTAGGGCCTTCAAGGACCAGGTGCTCTTCCCATCATGGCAGGCCCGCTCCGACATCCTGAGCTACTGCGCCGCCGTCGCCACCAGTCCTGACCCGGACGACCCGGCGGCTGCCGCGCGGGGCGCAGAACTCGAGAGGAACAGGGGGAGAGTGCCCGACGAGAGGCTGGACCCCTACTCAGCGAGATTCTTCCCCACCGAGCCTAGGACGGCACAGCTGGCGATGCTGGTGCGGCAGGAAGAGGGCGTCGAGCGTATCGTTAGGACCAGGACGTGGGGTCTCGTCAGGGACAGGTGCGGTGACTCAGACGCCCAGGACTGGCAGGTTGCCCTCGCCAGCTGGAGGGGGGAGCATGCTGGTGCATAGCATATGAGCTATGGAGGAGGGAAGGGTGGGGAGTAGGGGCAAGGCAGAGTAATACTGCGTGCAGCCTTTATGTGTTGTCGTGTCTTCTTCTACCTACTGATACCTTCATGATGACAACTACAACAAGGGTAGGTCTATACCCAGGAAACTTATGGGGTTTCGACTTCCTCTCGAAAAGAAGACTGATGAAAAGACAAATAAATGAATTAAAAAAAGAACAATGATGATGATACACACAAAAATAGAAGAACATAAATAATAACAGACAGGTACCAGCCAGATGGGGGGCAAAGGTGGGTGGCAGGATAGTGATCAATGCTAGTATGCTATGGTACTTATAGTACTACTTACAGCTACCTACTCTGTACTATGGTAGCATTGTCTTCAGAGGATAGCTCCCCTTATCTTATCGGGAAGCTCCTAGGCCGGCGTGCCTGGCTGTCTCAACTGACCCCACCAAACCATTGCATTTAACCCAGCCAGCCCACCTGGGCCCTGACTGGCAAGGATTGTCAAGTGGCCCACAAGCTTGCACGCCAAAACTTGGAGCTCCTCTCTTCCGTTCGGTTTTTTTTTTTTTTTTTTAACTGCATACTTACATAGTAACATCGTACGTAGCCAGGCAGACGGGGTACAACTCTGGCTCGACCCCCACCCACGAATTCCCACCACCACGAGCTCAATCACTACTACTATACCTACTACGAACCACTACCACAGCCACCACCAGCAGCAGCCTGGCCATTTTTATTTGTGGTTTCTTGGGTTATTGCCTGAGCCAATATCTCTTCTCTCCTCTGGCCCCGCTCTCTTGTCGCCCCACCTCGTCTCTACACTGGACACACACTCCTGGTCTGGGTTTACTGTCCATAAAGAGAGACAAGAAAGACGACACGACGCTGCAAGTAGTCTCATTACGAGAGACCAATTCGCCAGCTCAGACAGCCCCAGGCGTCTCCCCAGCCCGGCTTCCACTTGCAAAGGGGCCTTCCGACGAGCTCGCATCACGCCCGGCGCCTAACGCACACGCACACGCACACGCACACGCACACGCACACGCACCTCCCACCTCCCACCACCTCCTCCTCCCCGATGCCACAACCTCTGAGCACGAGAGAGGGCAACCTCTTTCGTCAGGTCGTCCGCAACTATGAGGAGAAGCAGTACAAGCGCGGTCTCAAAGCTGCCGAGCAGATCCTCAAGAAGAACCCAAAGCATGGGGATACGATGGCCATGAAGGCCCTCATCCTCAATGCCCAGGGCAAGACCGAGGAGGCCTTTGCCCTGGGCAAGGAGTCTCTAACCATCGACATGAAGTCCCATATCTGCTGGCACGTCTACGGCCTGCTGTACCGCTCCAATAAGAATTTCGAGGAAGCCATCAAAGCCTACCGCTTCGCCCTCAGGCTCGAGCCCGAGTCGAGCCAGATCCAGCGAGACCTCGCCGTCCTCCAGATCCAGATGCGCGACTACCAGGGTTATGTCCAGAGCAGGCTGGCCATGCTGCAGGCCCGTCCTGCCCTCAGACAGAGCTGGACCGGCCTCGCCATCGCCCACCACCTCGCCGGGAACCTGACAGACGCCGAGAACATCCTCAAGACCTTTGAAGACACCCTGAAGACTCAGCCTGCCCGCTCCGATCTCGAGCATTCCGAGGCCCTCCTGTACCACAACATGATCATCGCCGAGACCGGCGACTTCCAGAGGGCCCTTGACCACCTCGAGTCTGCCTGCAAACACAACCTGGATCGCCTGGCCTACCTGGAGGCTCGCGCCCGGTACCTGACCGAGCTGGGAAACAAGGAGGAGGCATCTCAAGCCTGGCGCGCTCTCCTGGACCGGAATCCCGACCACGCCGAGTACTATGACGCCCTGGTTGAGGTGTCAGATCTTTCCGCCGGAGACGACCTCCTTAGCCGCAAGGCCATCTATGACGAGTACGCCGTCAAGTTTCCCCGTTGTGACGCCGCGAAACGGCTCCCGCTAGACTTCCTAACCGGTAAGGCTCCTTTCCTCCTCCCTCCTCCTCCTCCTCCTGCTGCTGCTGCTGCTGCTGCTGCTGGCTGCGCCTGCTACACAGCAATGACCGTCTACTGGGAGGGCGGGTTCATCAGGATTGCCGCACCCCCTCCCCCCTTCGCGGATGCATGTGCTGACACGGACTAGGTGACGAGTTCAAGGCCGCAGCTAAGTCATACCTGGCCATGGTCCTCGACAAGGGCATCCCGTCTACCTTTGCCAACCTGAAGCACCTGTACGCGGACGAATTCAAGAAGGCGACACTACGAGACGTTGTCGACGAGTATCTCTCCACCGCCGCCGCCGAGGGTGACAGCTCGAGGGGCAGGGGTGCAGCCGTCTTCTACCTCGCCCAGCACTACAGCTACTACCGCAGCCGCGACCTCCCCCGGGCGATGGAGTATGTGGACAAGGCTATCGAGGAGGACCCAGAGAATGTGAATTTTGCCATGACAAGAGCGCGGATATGGAAGTACTACGGCAACCCGCAGAAGGCCTCGGAGGCCATGGAGCACGCCCGAGAGCTCGACACCAGGGATCGATACATTAACACCAAGGCCGCCAAGTACCAGCTGCGGAACAACGAGCTGGACAGGGCACTCAAGACGATGGGCATGTTCACTAAGGCTGACACGCCCGGCGGCCCCCTTGCGGACCTGCTGGACATGCAGAGCGTCTGGTTCCTGACCGAGGATGGCGAGGCGAATGCGCGCCTCGGCAACTTGGGGCTTGCCCTGAAGAGGTTCCATGCTGTCTTCAACATCTTTGACATATGGCAGGAGGACCAGTTCGATTTTCACGGCTTCTCGCTCCGCAAGGGCATGATACGAGCCTACATTGACATGGTCCGGTGGGAGGACCACCTGAGGGACCACCCATTCTACACCCGCGTTGCAGTCGGCGCTGCCAACGCCTACCTGCGCATATACGAGCAGCAGGAAGAGAAAGCCGCGAACGGGGTCAACGGCACCGAGAATGGCAATGCCAACGGCGACGACGCGCTGGAGAAGAAGAAGGCCGCAAAGAAGGCCAGGAAGGAGGCCCAGCGCCTGGAGCGCGAGTCTGCCGAGAAGGCGGCCAAGCAGGATCCCAACAAGAAGGGGGTCAAGCCTGACCCGGATGCCCAGAAGAAGCAGGATGACGACCCCCTCGGAGCCAAGCTCGCCGCCACCACCGAGCCGCTGGCAGACGCCATGAGGTTTATCAGTCCGATGTTGCAGTGCAGCCCCAAGAGCATTCAGGCGCAGACCACCGCCTTTGAGGTGCTCATCCTCCGGAGTAAGTTTGAAGCCCTCCATGACAACAATGCCATCCCACCCAGGATGGAATGAACCTCTTGTAATGGCGAGTGGACTGACAATGAAGCAGAGAAGTATCTTCTTGCACTACGATGCCTAAAGGCCGCGCTGTCGTTGGATGCGGAGGATCCCAAGGCCCATGAGCAGGCCATTCGGCTACGGCACGCTCTGAACACTGATCTGGCGACGCTCCCACCCAAGGTCACAGAGGTTATCAACGCCGAGTTCACAGAAGTGTCCGCATCGGCGGACTTGGCCAAGCTCAACCAAGAGTACCGAGAGAAGCACAAGATCAGTCCGCAGCACGTGCTGTCAAGCATTCGTGTTCAGGCTCGGCTTGGCGAGGACCGTGGCAAGCTTGCCAAGGATGTTGTGGCCCTCTTGCAGCTCGACGACATCAAGGTGGAGGACGCAAAGGACGCGCAAGACGTGCTGAGAGCCTGGAAGAGCGGAGAGGTGGATGGATTCCAGAAGACGGCGCAGCAGAAATGGCCAGAGTCTTCAGTCTTTGCCTAGAACGCTTGGCTGGACAGCTTGGGCACTCTTGCGTCAAACGCAGCCTGTGGATCATGGCAGGTGAGATTGTCTTCCTGCAGGTCGGCACCATTGACTGGAGCGTGGAGCAGGTGAGCGGCCCTCGAATGGGGCGTGAACTCTCCGCCAGGATGCACGACTTAGGTGGGAGTCCAAAAACGGACTTGTGCATCCCCCTCCCCCCCTTTTTCCCGCGCTCGCTCACTCACTCATGATCAATGCTACCCACCAGAAACGCTGGCACGGCCGAGGAGCCGAAAAGTGGGAAGGGGGAAGGACATTAGGCTTGGAAGAGCGCATAGAGCATTGGAAAATACAACAATATCTTCACACAAAGACCATCACTGTTCGATGCTATCACGCCCGCCGGGCGCCAGTGGTGGTAGTAATATTGTTATGTCGTCGCCGTGGGGCGCAGGACTTGCTAGACCGAGCACGCCAGGGAGGAACGGCCCGGGGCTCCGGCGGCAGGTGAATCCATATGGAGAAACACAGTCCCAGAGGAAAGGGTTTCGTAAACCTTGCTGGTCGACGTCAGAGAAGGGCGATTATGAAATGCAAAAACAACCCCCCCTCAAAATCTATACTGGACCACGCCTGGAAAGGGAGTAATGATGTGTTGGGGTTCGTCGTTTCTTACCACACAGTTCCCCGTCCCTCAGCCTTTGTTCTTACCTGGAACGCCTTGACAGGATCGAAACGGATGATGGATAGCAAAGGGGGTGAGAAGCTGTGTATCGGGGCGGGCTGTAATTCTACCGAGCTCAGCACGAGGCGTATCGAATTGTCTTAGGGAGCGGAACTTTTGTCACAAACATCTCTTTTGTGGCGCACACACGCGCACGCACACGCACAGCGCACATGCCCTGCGTCTCCCGCCCGTCCTTCGGGGGCCAGGCATGATTCCCCCCTCCCCCCACCCCTGGCTCGTCTCATCTTGCTGCTGGTTTGCGACAGTACGGGAAAAGGATGTACATGCATGTGATGTTACGCCAACAGGGAGCGTCAATGGAATGGGGATTGAACATCTCGGGGTCTCGGGCTGGGTCAGTTCCAGAAGGATCGCACCATTTCCTTTTCTTTCTTTTTCCTGTTCCTGTTCCTGTTCTTCTCTCTCTTTCTTTTTCGTGGTCAAGTGCTTAGTGATTGGTAGACAAGCGCGGAGGGGAAGGTAGAGAGGGCACCGCAAGTCACTCCGTGATGAAGAGAAGTGTGAGAGGGCACATTACAATCTCGATCTCTGTCCCCCCCTCCCCCCTTTCCCCTTTACTCCTCTTCTAAAGAAACGATACTGCAGTCAACACCGAGATCTGCCTGCCCATGTCTATCGATGCAAGCAACGCAACAAGTCCCCATGCATATTTCAGATTCACAACCTGTCGGATGCTATGCTATGGATTGTGCATCTTGATAGAGAGGGCCACGGTGAAGGAAACATAAGCCTTGTTCACACTCCGCAGCCCTGGAGAAAACTCGTTCCGCTTGGGCCCCCGTCTCCTTCTGGTGTCAGGTCTGTTCTGACACACCTGCTATGGCTGCTGCTTGGAACAACAGCAGCTGCACCTGCAGCAATAGAGGCTGGTTTGGGTCACTTGCATGCTCGCATGCCAGAGATCAGCAGGAGGAGGACGACGACTGTGAGGACGATGGGATGCTTCTGGGTACTCCCCTGGTCGTGAACCACCGGAGTTGACTACCCTAACCGGGCCACACCCAAGATTTGATGCGAACTCGCCAATCTCGAAAGGATCCCCACTCGGGCTGCAGTGGTTGTTTTGGTCCAGGGCTGGGCCTCTGGCGAGCGGATGGGGATCAGCATCCGCCGGCAGAGGTCCGCGGCCAGAACAAGCTTTCTCTTTTGAGAGGATACTTGTGCCCGAAAAGTACCCTGCACATTGTATTTTTTTGTCTTCTTCTGTCCCTTTCTTCCTTTTCCCTTCTCTCTGTCTCCTCTCTCTCTTCTTGCGTTCATCCCCTCCTTATTTTTTATTATTATTATTTTTTTTTTTTTTTGGTGGCGCTCGGTCCTCGAAGAACTGTCAAGCAAGCAGGGTTTCTGTTTTCTTAGGCATTCAGACAGCGCACAGTATAGCACAGCACAACAAGCCTTGGCGGGGGCCACAAGTACACATTAGTCTGGACCTGGCCGCCTGGCGAAGGAGCAGACCGGTCTGGGAATGCCCCAAAGCCCCCCTGTGCAGACAGACTGGTTGTGAACATGTACCACTGAACTATGTACCATAGATAGTATGTACTGCTCTAGTAGCATGGGTTCCATGGTAGTATCCACTGTGCGGCGCGCCATATCCACCTTGGGGAAGACAGATGACGGGCCCCACAGAGGGTAATTTGAGGCTATTGCGACGAGATCATTGGCAATATGCCCAGGCTGGCTAATAGCAGCTCTATTTGTAAAGTAAGCAGTGGAGTGAAAAAGGAAGGAGACTTACATCAAGAGTCTGTGTAATAAAGTCGCTTTTTTGTTCGCTCAAGAAGAAGAAGAAGAAAAAGAAGAAGAGGAAGGGAAAGGAGAATGAGCCTTATATAACAGAATTGAGGAGGGGGAAGAAACCACCAAAATCATAGATCTTGACGTTGACATCGCTGGCGATATGTTACATACAATTACGGCTTGCTATCATACACTCTTTCAAATACACACACACACACACACATTTAGGGGTGATGAGAGGACGGACGGAGTGTCGACAGTGGCCCGTGGCCCGCCCATGTCATTATCGTTATGATACCATAGTCGTAAGTACTTACAAATATGTGTACAGTATTATTATGTGGTGACTGTGCCCCGTGTTATGTGCCCCGTACAGTCCCTCCTCAATCTTACTCAAGAGGTCTGAAATGGGGAAAGACAACCGGCCAAACCGTCCGCCAGGAGCCATATGGTCTGATCCGGAGGGGGGAAGGGGTTGGCTCCTCCTCCTCTTCCGTTCAAGGAGATTCTTTTCTCTTACTTCTGTAACCACACAGGACGTGCAGCAGCGGCGAAGCAATGTACAAAGTAATGCGTGTGCTATGTATGTGTGTCTGCACCGTGTCCGAAAGGAGACGTCCAGGCCCCCCCCCCTCCCCTGCTGCACATGCCCTGAGCAAGAAGAGAAGGAGGGCCAGGGATCAAGGGCCAGGGGCCGTAGATCAAGAAGAAGGGGGCCTGCTTGCTGCTCAAGGTTCACTTCTAGTACCGTTTTCTTTCTTGCCAGGCCTTTCCCAATTCGACAGCTCTGATGATGGGTGGTGACGAGAAGGGTGGAGGAAGGAGAAGAAGAGGAGGAGGAGGCGCGCGCCTCTGTGGGTCAGCCTCTGCCTCGTAGTTGTCCAGCAGGGAGGGGCCAAGAAAAGTCCCCAGAAAAGAGAAACAAAAGAAAAAACACAACCACTCGTCAACCAGATAAAAACACACACACTCAAGACAAGAATTGAACCTGATGGACCGACACAGCACCTTGACACCTTGTTTGGTTGCGGGACAATCTTTTCCGGATGTGAATTTAAGCTCCCGCTAAGATGGATTCCCACGGGCTCGCGTATCTCTGGCAGGTGAGGCGAGGGTTGGCGTTTCAATACCAGCAGCGTGTTGCCTTGCTTCGCTTGATGTCTCGCTTCTGCCCGTCCGCAGCTGCAGGCCATTTGGTCAACCCCAAAAGAAGGGGAGGGAAAAAAATCGTGGTTGTGGTGGCTGCTCCTCCTCCTCCTCCTTTTCTTCCTCCCTGTCCAACGTTTCCTTCTTTTCCTTCCTCCATTTTTCCTTCTCCTCTGGATCCTCTGGAGCGGGGTCACGTCACCTTCCACGATCCTTGACCATTGTCTGAGTGGGCAATAGAGGACAGTGGGCATAACAAGGGGAAGAACGAGGAGAAGAAGAAGGTCTAGTAGAGGACAAGGACGAGGGTAGGAGTGGGTTAGGAGTGGGCTTGGGAGCGGAGACACACACGCACCACACCAATGAGTACTGTAGTAGGGTCCATGTCCACGTCCATGGTCCATCCTCAACCCCCCCAGCCAGCCAGCACAGCCAGGTGTATGCACTTGAGGAAGACCAGGAGGGAAGAAGGAAGAGGAGAGAGAGAGAGAGAAAGAGAGAGAGAGACAAAGACGAAGAGGGAGACAGGCAAGCAAGGATGAGGATAACAAGGTGGAGTGGGAATGCAACCCTGGGATATGACATATCTCCAGACTACAGACAAAATGCAGCTCGTAAGTATGCCATGTCAGGGTGGGTGGGCTCTGCTCTGCTACTCCCTTTCCATCATAAGTGACAGGTCAGGAATTCTTGGGACCTACTACTCTGCAACTGTGTGTGAACCATGCAGCTATGGTACTATGTATGGTGGCAAGGAGGGAGGGGCAGTGGGCTGTTCTTCCCTCTGACATCTTGCTTCTTTCTTCCCCGATCACACATCGAACCCCCCCCCCCCCTTTTTTTTTCCTTTCTTTTCCCCCCCTCCCCTTCCCCTCCATCTTGATCATTAAGGTGTGCATAAGTATCTGTGATGGTGACGACAAAGACGAAGGAGAGTTCTTTTTTTCTTTCTTACTCTCTTTCTTCTTTCTTTTCCCCCCAATATCGAGCGAGGGTCATGTCTGATTGTGGACTTTTGAGGTTACGGCCGAGGTGGGATTGTGAGTCTTCCCCCCTGAGCAACGGTGAACACCACCCACTCGTAGCGTCTGGGGAGTTCCCTCTTCGCACCCCTCCCAGTGCCCACCCCCTGAAGACGAGACCTGAACGGAGATCCTGGAGCTGAACGAGGCTAGCCGCCCCCCCCCCTCCTCCGGACCCCTGCCAGGTTGAATAGCGGGAGCATGGACTCTTCTTTTCTTTCTTTCTCCTCTCTCACTCGCGCGCGAGTGCGTCAGCACGCTCTCTTTCCTGTTCTCACCATAGCCATAATGGTAGCAGACTGCGCAGGGTAGATCTTTATTAATGCGGGCTCACTGTGTGCGTGTACTAGCATAGCTGGGCATAACTGGACTGCAATCAGCACTGTACACTCCATAGGGGGGGTAGTGAAGAGGGTTTATGAAGTACATACATAGTACTGGAGGGAATAATATTATTTTCATAACTCTCCGAGTGCAGCGACACAGCCTAATCATTCAGCACAGTGAGAGGGGTGGAAAAAACAAGAAACTTTCCTACCAGACATGCCCCTCAACTTCATTCGGTCCATCTCACAGCCTCACGTTGAACCATCTCACCACGGCAGGAGGAACTGACGAAATTCGGCAAGTTCCGACAAGCTTGTCCCTACTATAGTCGAAGCAGAGGTTACCTACCATTATTATCATAGTATCATAAGGTCAAAGCACACGGC